AGGCCCTTTATATGATACATGCGACTATGTGATTTGTTTTCAATTTCCCTCTCTCCCTGACCTTTTGTGTGCGCTTCTTTGCGCTCTGCCCTTTTTCAGTTTTGGGTTCGGTTCCCTCTTTTTCCCTCTTCCTTCTCTCTTCTTGGAGGATTAGATGGATTTTTTCACAATTATTAGATTTTTCTTTCGATCGACAAATTTTTTCGAGTGAAATATCACCAGATAATTGTGTGTGTGTGTGTGTGTGTGTGTGTCTGTGTGTCTGAGACTATTAGTGTAGTACAACGGCTTTTCTTTTCCTCCTAAAATGCCGCAGTGAACAGCCACAAGGGGAAAAAAAAAACCAAGCCTAATAAAGAAAGTTTTTAAGTGATTAAATTTATATATTTTTAATTTACTGTACCTTTATAAAATCTTATATTTTTATATATTTAATGTACTGTTTTCAATGGCATGAGGTTGCGAGGATAAGTAAATATCTGTATTTTTAACACTAATATTTTTAAATCCAATCAAATACGTTTTTTTAACCTCGTTTAAGACAAATGCATAAATATGCTGCTTCCAGTCCTTAATATAAGACCTCATTTGACTTTTTTCTTTTATTCTAAATATAAGACCTCAATCCATTTTGTCTCTCATATTTATCTATTTTTTAGTGCTAACCAATACATTTGATTAGTAAAAATATATTAGGAGAGGAGAGACAACACATATTTATTACAAATAACTAGTTTAACTACTTTTTTTTAATCTACTTGAATTATTCAACTAATTCTTATATTAAAAATGGGAGGTAATATAAAATTAAGGACTTGGTATTCTTCACGACAAAAATGAAGACGGGGGTGGAACGGAGGAAGAATTTTCATTCCCAGCTTTTTTTTTTTAACAGCTCATCGCAGCTTGCAAGAATTTTTTTTTTAAAAAATAGGAGTATTGGATGAAAAAGTGATTTTGTAACTCTTTAAATAAAATTAATTATGTTCTCAACTTCTCATGTCACATACACAGTTTTGGTTGTTGCTGGTAAAAAAAAAAAAAATACGCATGTTAAAATCAACTCGCCAATATAAAATAATTTAAATTATAGGAAAATCTAATGCTTTAGTCATTTAACTTTTAATTCAATCATAACCCAGCCTCTCAACTATAACTCAGTGCTACTTAATTCTTAAATTTTTAATTCAATTAAGACTCAGTCTCTAATGTTTACTCCGTTCGACTTAAGGATTGAGTTTTAATTAAATTAAAAATTAAAGAACTAGGATATATCAAGTCATAGTTGAGACATGGTTGAGTTAATAATTGAAGGACCAAAAGGTTATTTTTTCCAAAATTCTATCAAACAAATAATTTGCTCATAAAATATAACAAGCTGCATTAAAGTATATTTTTCAAGTTGGGATATTTTTAAAATGAATGTTTTGTTTTTGCAAACTTTTGTTTTTACAAACTAAGAAATTTATATAAAAGACTGTGTGAGGAATTACAGTACTAAAAGTGCAATCATGTGTCATTACAAGGAAATCCTACGTATTAGAAGAAAGTTAATGTTATTTTAGAAAGCAGGACATGGATGTGACTTTTCAATTGAAAATATATGCTTGAAGAGGCACTTTTTTTTTTTTGATCTGAAAAGAGGCACTTCAAAGTACCATTGCCTCCTCAACGTTACTTTATTCACGCACGCACAGTGTCTATGTTGTTCAGTACAAGTCAAATTATTACTATATAAATATCATTTTTATCTAGGTTAATATAATTTTTTTTATCCTTTCATTTTGTCTTGATTTTGATTTTGATTTTTTAAGTGACAAAATAATACAAATTTTTATTGAATTATATAGATTGATATTTTAAATAAAAAAATTTAAAGGACCAAAACCTATAATTTAAAATTTGAGGGGTCAATACCAAAATAAAGATAAATTTGAGATACCAAAAAAATATATTAACCTTGTTATTTTGTCTTGAATTTTGAAAATGCAAACGTAATGAAGGTTTTTAATTGTATCTGGAAGAAAAATTATTTCTCAACCTGATTTGCAGCGAAAGATTGAAACAAGGGGTGCTTGGATGACTCGAATGCAAGTTTAAAATTACTTTTAAAATTTTAGTTTCGTTTCTTAAACACTCTCATAATGACAATAAATTGCCACAAAAACACTGCACAGGGTTTTTATTCTTTATCTTTTTTTTACTTTTACTCTTCGGACAACCATGGCCACCAATCATTTATACTTGCAAATAATTTTATTGACTAATTTTTCATCTCTGCTTCCCCTGACTTTTTTTTTTTTGAGCAAACTGCTTCCCCTGACTTTATCTACTGAGTAATCAAAGTAGAATCATGCATGTGTCATGGAGGGTCAGTATTAAATGATTAGCAGGGATAATATGCTTATTTCAGCACATTTGAGTTGGCACTGCGTGCCCATAAACGATAAAAATAAAAAATTTACCGTAATAGCTCTAATCAACGTTATTTATTCATCTCATTTAAATCCAGGATAGTTCAAAGAGTTGCAGCTAGCTAGAAATGCAAAAGGAAATACAACCAACATATAGGAAAATCTGGGAAAACTCCAAATATTCAAAACAGCCAGTCGTGGTAGTGCCATTAAAACGATATGGGCGTAGCATTATCTGCTCCAGCATCTCTATAAATGCTTCTCAACCATCAACCCCACCATCACAACCCCATTCGTCCTTATAAGAAAAAACTACAGAAAGAGATTTCTCACATGCCCTTCAGTCACTGCTAGCCAGCCTGAGAACTGAGATGGCCAAGCTTTCTTTCCCCTGTTCATTCCTTCTTTTCCTTCTTGTCTCGGGTAAGTTCTGAGTTGTATATCATCTCTGCAGCGAATAGCGTGTCCGGAGTTGGTGTTAGCATTTTCGTAACTAAATGAAAGACTTCCTATTAAACAAAAGTTTGTCTGCCTGGTCAAAATTCCACCTGCTTTTCTCTCTGTTTGGTTCTTTTTTCCCCTGTTTCTGATGATTCGATTGGAGATTTGTGCAGCTGTGTTGATGGAGGGTGGAGCCAAAGCCAGAACGTTCTGTTCAGTGGAGCTAGATCCCAACCAATGTGATGTTCTTGCTTGTCAAGAAGAGTGCATGAACTCGCACGGGGGGTGGGGAGGATGCGCTCACTTTGGATTGCAGATATTTCATTGTGTTTGCACCTATATCTGCCCTTAAAGGCACTTGAAGTCAAGCGTCCGCATTGCTTTAATTGGGCTGTACCTCTTGGTTTGCTAAATAATTTGAATAATCCTTCACCATTCTCTGTACTGTGTTGCCTTTTCATGGGATATTATTAAACCAATTGGCAGTGCAGGTTGTTTAGACCAGCCTGTCACGTGTGCTTTCTGGCTTTTCCATTGAGGTTCCTTCGCCTCCTCCTCGCTTAAGAAGTTAGAGAAAAACAAAACGAAAATGGCAGAAGCTGCATCCAAAGGTTGAGAAAGGAAAATTGAGCGATGCTAAATGAAGAGTATTGCAGACACCGTCGTTGACCGTAAGAAGGTTAGAAAAACCAAACAAGATAGAGTGCGTTCAATACTGGGCATCCAGATGAACACATTTACCATGTTGATGCTGAACCGAAACTAGCTAATGCACTAAATGAAATCTAACCCATTTCATGTTCATTTGAATATATTCTACAAAGAAAGGATAAAAAGGAAGTCATCGTTTCAGCCTACTCTTCATTTGTTATTTTTCTGGGAACCCCGTTGCCACCTGTAAACTGTTCGAGATTCAGCAGTGCTTTGAGTTTGAAACAGGGGAAAGCAGGGGCGTACGAGAAGGAATTAGGAAGCCAGGGTCTAGTAGTGAAGAACTGAAGATCTATTACCGAAAGGGGGGGGGGGGGGGAGGAAAAAAGAAGAAGAATATTGAGGACTACATAAAACTTTTTGCCATGAGACTTGGTTGTTCAATGACGTCACTTTTTCGACGAGAACTTCAACCTTTCGTCTCAACAAATCTTGAACAAGGGAAGCAAATAATTCCTCTAACCTGCAGTGCCCCGTTCACAAATTATAACTCGGCTCATCAAATTAATGGGTCAACAGACGAGCACATCAAACTCGATCCTTCTCAACGATAATGCAAGTTCAACCGCCTCCCCCAGATCAAGACACACCAAAGTTGCATTTTAATTTAAACGAGTGAATTCATTTGGAAGTCAACAATTTGTGACTTGTAAATCTTAAAAAAATAAAATTTGAAATTTAAAAATATTAAGAACTTGTTTTTTTTTTTTTTGGTAATATAAGAACTTGTTTGATACAAGATGAGAATGGTGGCAATCAACAACAATGAGGGGGCAAAAACTGGCCTTTTCAAAAGGCCATTTTTCCATTTAACAAACATTAAAAACACTTTCTTCTTGTTTCCTTTCTTTGAAATTACTTTTAATGAAGAAATGAGGGGCTCAACTTCCACTTTGCACAGGGTGGTGACAATTTCCAATTTCCAATTTCCACATGTTAATGCTCACGTCCCTTTTCCGATATTGAAAACAACGGACAGGAACGGCGTTAACAGTCTGACATTTTGATAACTGAGATACGCGCAATGTGCTTACAGAACTGGAGCCAAATGCTCCGACTTCGAGATAATCCAATAACTGGAAGCATGAACAAAGATCTTGATCATTGAACGGCCTCGTCTGAAAATGAAATGTAGCAAGGTCTCTGGACAAAGTATCACTAGCGTATTGATAAGATTACTTCAACACTGAAACATCTGAATTAAGCAGCTCATGCACTTGGCATTATCCGAGCAGCGTCAACCCAATACAAAGATATTGATGCTGAGTCCAAACACCAACAGGGGATCACCGTAAGCAGGTTCGGCCTTTTAGAAGTTGGAGCCTAATAGTAACTTCGAAAGAAGATCAATAGCGTCCAAAGAGCTTGACAAACAGTAGTTTCCAACTTAAACAAAACCAAGCGCAAAAATAAATTATGATTTGTGCTTCAGGGTATCCAAAAAAGGGTTGAAAAACACATACTTTGTATTCAGAAATCAATGAGACAAAATTTAGGAGTCTACTTGTGCAGAGAGTTAATTATACGGCTCTTCCAATGAAAACATGTAAGGGTTCAAATCCAAACGAAGCTACTTGGTTCAACAAAGAAGAAAAACAACTAAATTCAGAACTAGTAACCGCCTTTAAGATCATTGACGACATCATATGGAATGGGTGTTACAGTCTCCAGTGTGGCACCTTCCACCATGAAACCTGGCTTAGGGCCCTCAGGCTGCCTCTTAGTGCTGATGACCTCTCCCTTGGCCTTTGCCTCTGCCTTCAACTGATCATTCTTAATTTTCCTCAGACGGAACTCCTCTGTGCACCTTGATGGCTGCACATGCTCAACGCGAACATGGATTCTCTTTCTGATAATCCTGTTGCCAACCTAGAACACAGATGCATCCACGGAACTTAGGAAATTTGTAGAAGATAAAACAGTCAACAGATCACTTAGCCAAGAGAAAGCCGGGATATCTACACTAAATAAGTCCCTTAAAAGAGTCCATGCTTGGAAACAATCGAAATGGATGTCATTGGCAACAACAAAAACATTCAGATTGGCCATACGACCACCATCGCAATGGCGACAAGAGAGAAATTTAGAGGAAAACTGGAAGATGAAAAGTTTTATCAGATCGGTAACTAACGAACAGCAAAAAGAAGTTGCTATATATGCCACCAGCCGTGTAAAATTATTAACGAAAGCGAGCCCAAAATTAATCCTAAGACGACTCAGATTTTATTGGCCAAGAATATTTCCCTAGCATATTTCACCAAACCGAAATGGTATCAATTTAGCTCAAAAGTTAAAACAAGAAGTATTAAATTAAACCAACGAAAAATTTAGCATTCAATACCTACAGCATGTCCAGAAAACATCAAGATGCCAACGTTAGATCGCATAAACTACCCACATTGACTGGAACGCAGCCAAGAGTACCCATAAAAACCTCAGTAATATATCGCACAAAATGGATAAAGTCATCATCAAGGATAGGAGAAAAAGTAGCTTATAACAAATAAATACTGCCTCCGGAGGAAGAATTGAACAAAAAAGAAAGGAACAAACGAAAACTATAACAGCGTACAAAGTCGAAGAGAACATCGCGCAACTATTATACGGAGGTACATACCTGTTTGTTGACCTCGACGCCGATAGCGCGCTTGGTGACGTTCCAGACACGGCCAGTACGACCATGGTAGAACTTATGAGGCATACCTTTCTGGACAGCACCATTGACCTTGATGTCAACGTAGTCACCGATCTTGTAGGTGCGAAGGTAAGTGGTGAGGGCGATGGTACCCTTCTTCCTGAATGGCCGAGAGAAAGAGTCTCGAGTACGAGATCTCAACCCATGACCGGCCGGCATCTTGAGCGACTAGGGTTTTTCTCTCAGAGCAGAGAACGAAGGGAGATTGATAACTAGGGTTTCCCATTTTCACTCTCATCTTTAATAAATAAGAACTGGGCTTCTTCTTGGGCCTGTTCCGCCAAGCAAAAGCTATACTATCTCATTTCCCGGGGGGGGGGAATAGCGTATACTGATCCAAAATTTATTTAAATGTAACTTGGGCCCATACGTAACCCAAAGTATGATCCAATGGAGTGCCTCATATTCGGGTCGAGGTGAAAAGGGTTAGGGAGGAATAGCTTTACTGCCTTCTGATGGATATTTGACACTTCAATGTACGGTAATAGTTGGAGTAAATACAAAGAATCCTAAATATTTTACGGTTGAGAATTATGACATTTTTCTCGATGGGCTATTAATTGGGTTTGGTGACCTTCCCCCACGTCCTGACTTCGGAGTTCTGACTACTAATGCCCACTTCCATCCTGCTCCACTTATTGATGACATATTTCCCGCTAATATATTTTTATATTTTCCTCAGCTGTAAAAAACCAAGAATAATTTATATATTAGTATATCCTTATTTTTCTTATAATCAACTAATAGATACCATGACAAGAGGCATCACTAAATGATAATAGAAGCAGGTAATAGCCGGTCCAGGTTTAAACAGATGTAAGTTCTTGTTATAAAACATTTTTAAAAAAAATAGATCATTCTTATTATAAATCACTTGATATAATAGTAATTAAATTTTATAATATTATTTCTTCGATCAGTCGGAGGAGTTCCTCGGGAATGCCGGTGAGGCCAATTTGCCATGCCTTCCCTCTGCAAATTCCTGACATAATATTTTCTTATAATACTTCTATTTAATATAAGAGTTTGTTTGATTTTTATTTTAATTCTAAATATAAAATTTTAATCTATTTTGTCTCTAATATTTATTTATTTTTTTAAAGTAGTCATGATAATAATAATAGTTACAGCCAATATGTTTAAATAGCAAAGATATTTTAAAAAAGATAACTTTTTATTACAAACAACTAACATAACTAATTTTCTTAATCTACTCAAATTATTCAACTAACTCATATATATTAAGAACTGGAAGTAGTGCTATTTCTATTTAAAGTGATTAGCTGTGAGAGAAAATATAGTACAAATATAAACAGATGAACAAATTATTATACTCCCTCCGTTCCTTATTATAAGAGACATTTGATGCTTATGGTATGTTCCTATATATAAGAGATATTTAAAAGCTGTCTCTATTTTTTTGTGTTGATTTCCTATTTTACCCATATTTATTGTCTCCAACTCATACTCTTTCTCCTTCCCACTTTTCTTTCTTTTAATAATTTACTATTGTTCTCTCTCATGTTTTCTCTCCTTATTAATGAGGGTATTTTTGGAAAAAAATTATACTTTTTACACATTAATTGTTCTTAACTAATTTTAACTGTTTTTTTTATCAATGTAATTTGGTTATTCGTCTCTTATAATAAGAAACGAAGAGAGTATTTTCTAGTGATTTAGTTAAATATTTTTTAATGGTTACTCATGATGTTAAATAGTCAAGAAGTAAACTTTGTTTTTCAGGCATCCTTTATTTTTAAGGGACGCGTAAAGGGGAAAAAAATATGAAAGAAAATATGGTATGCCTAAATGTCAACCTTTTAATTAATACAATATACAAAATTAATTAGAGGATAATAATAATGAAAATGTATTAAATATTTAGACAACCGCAACTAGAATCTTATGAAAAAGATTAAGGTTGTTGTTGGAAGAGACAAAAACGTTTAGCGCTCTAAGTCTTAAAAGAAAAAATCCTTGATTAAATCAAATTAAAAAAATCAAGATCCTATTTTGATTAACGTTTGAAATTACTTGTAACCATGTTTTTCATAAGTGGAGATAAAACGTCTTTTTTACATAAAAGCTGCTTCTATATGTGTGCCATTTTTAACGGGCCTAATGTAATTTAAATTTCAGTTTGTTATAAAAAGGAACGAAGGAAGTGTAGGTGTTTTATGATTATCAAAAGTTAAAAATCCATTAAAAAAAATTTTATTCTCCCAACCTAACCCGCAATGTGTCAGACATAATTAAAGGCAGCCACTAAACACGTAAACTACTCATCTGAATGTCAAGCAGGTCAATCATTCCGAAGTCATTTTTTGCCACCTTCTTATTCGTAGCCAATATATAGCCTAACTTGATTGTTTCCTTCTCGCATTGTCGCTGATTACCTCATCTCCTTCACCATGGCGAAGCTAGTCTCCAGCATCTTCATTCCCCTCGCCACTGTCTTTGCGTTCTTCTTCTCGTCCTCCCTCGCCGCGGTCGAAACGAAACGTTTCTCTAGCAACCTCTCTCCGGCGTCCTTAGGCCTCCGAGAGGAGAAGCTGAGCCATCTTCACTTCTACTTTCACGACATCCTCAGCGGCCCAAAGCCCACCGCCGTGAGAGTGGCAGAGGCTCCGGTGACCAACACTTCCTCGACGGCGTTCGGAGCAGTTGTGATGATCGATGACCTGTTGACCTTAGGACCCGATCCCGATTCGAAACCCGTGGGACGAGCCCAAGGCATTTACGCCTCGGCGTCACAAGGCGAGGCGGGCTTGTTAATGGCCATGAACTTTGCATTCACGGAAGGAAAATATAACGGGAGCACTCTAAGCGTCTTGGGTCGGAACAAGGTGTTTGACGCCGTGAGGGAGATAGCGATCATCGGAGGGAGCGGCGCTTTCCGATTCGCACGTGGTTATGCTCAGGCTAAGACTCACACGTTAGATCTCAAAACAGGGAATGCCATCGTGGAATACAGCGCCTACGTATTCCATTATTGAGCACAACCCTCAGCGATGTTTTGGTTTTGTGTTTTTGCGGGTTACACTATTTCTCTGCTCACAAGAGCGTCACCCCTTTGCTCTTTGCTCTCTTGTTCCATGTAAAACGATTTTAGTTTCCTGCACCGGTAGTTTAATGAAGTAAATTCGTCTATCGTAGATAAAAACCTCTCATTGTCTCAATTCCGAGCAAATAATGGCATTCATTTTTTAATGATAAAATAATGGCCTTCATTACATGCGTATGAACATTGATGCCCTTTTTACCTCATATATACGGGGGTTTGCTTCCTTGCATCTGATTTGTGTCAGCTTCAGGATTTCGGCACTACAAAAAAATATGCTTTTAGTGAAGGAATTTTTTATTTAGCAACGGAATTAGCGACGAGTTAGCGACGGACGGAAAAAAGTCCGTCGCTAATCCATCGCTAACCCAATTTTTTAAAAAATGAAATAAAATACCATGTGGCACCTCTACCTACCGTGCGGCTTTACCAGTTGAACTGCAATGAACCTGTTAAATTATTATGTAAAATTATATATATAATATTATTTTACACAAACAACTATATATACATATATATTATTAAAAACTAAAAATATACTATATGATAATTTTAATTATAACTATTTTAATGAAAAAATAATTTTTAAATATTTGTTTTGCTATTTTTTATAATTTTTTATTTTTAAAAAAAATATTTGTAATATAATTTTAATTTCTAACACACTAATTTTGAATTTTAAATCATAAATAATTTTTTTATAAATATTTTTTAAATTTATTTTCTAATTAATATTGATAAGATATACAATTTAATTATATATGTATTATATTACATTATATTATATTATCTACATGTGTTTTATATATTTGAAGAAAATCATTTACAGTTAGTTAAAAAATCTTGTTATTCAAAAAAATAATTACTATAATAAAATCTAATAAATTATTCTATATAAAAAATTAAATGATTTGAATAGATTATGATAAACAATATTCTCTACTTGTATATATATCCTATGTAATTTATTTTCTTAAAATTCTTTGTATATACCATTTGTTTTTGTATTGAAGACTAAAATCAATCTATATCATGGGTATTAATTATATCGTGATTAAATTTTATTATTTAATGATTGAAATTCAAAATTCACTTCAATATTAGTTTACATTCATATAAATTTATTTTTTGGTTTTGAATTTCTATCATATATTATATATTTCAATATATTTTACATATGATAAAATTATTTCTTTCTTAAATCAGCTTGTATAAGAAAGTTATTAATATTCTTATTATATTTTTAAATTATTATTAATAATCAAGAGGAATTTATTTTAACAAAATATAAACAAGTTTTCTAAGAAACTGTCTTTCTATTTTCAATATATACATAATAATGACATGAATGATGACGATATCTTCATTAACACAAACTCCACAAATATATCAATTTACTTTATAATTAAAAATATGTTTAAATCATTATATTCTTAATTGTTATTATATAAATTTTTGTAAGATTATAATTTAAAATAACAAAATTTAAAATTAGTGAAAGATTAATGATGGATTGTGATGGAATAGAATTAGCGACAGAATTAACGACAAAAACTTATGCGACAAACAATTTAGCAATAGAATTGGCGACAGAAATTTCTAACGGAAAAAATTCCGTTGCTAAATTTTATTGACGATTTTCTGACAGATTAGCGACGGACAGAAATTCTGTCCCGAAAAATTTCGTTGCCAACCCATTGAAAAAATTAGCGACGGAATTTTCGTTGCAATTCGGTAAGAAATCAGCAACAGAATTTGTTTCCGCCACAAATTAGCGATAGAATTTTTTTCCGTCGTTAATCAGCTGTTTTTTGTAGTGCAGACGAGAGATGAATTAATACAAATAATGTGATTACTACAGCACAAAATATAATACAAAATATAAAAGTTAATAAACTAATTTGAATAGAGTAAGAAAATAAGTTAAGTCAATAATTTATAATAAATGAGTATTATATTTCTTAAAATATCTTTGATAATCAGGTGTGTTGGAAGGACTATTTTAAAAAAATAGATAAATATGATAAATGGAGTGAATTAGAGTCTTATATTTAGTATCAAAATAAAAATCAAATGAAATCTTAAATTAAGAACCAGAAATAATAGCTATTATGACTTTCTAATTTTAAATACCCTCTTTGTAACTGCTCCCAAATGACACACAAGATGCGAGTGGTTTATTAAACACGAGAAAACCTATTTGTTTGGAGGAGATTTGGCAGATTTTTTCCCCTCGTCGCCTTCAAGATTTGGCAGAAGTCTGGCATTATACTTATAATGACACGAGCCATGAGGCCTCTCCCCAAAGCGTTGTTTACTACGAACATGTCGTACTTTGGGTGCGGCGTATCTCATCTGAGCGCCCACACACACACACACACGGACCCGACAAGTGTCCAGATCAGGATTCTAAATGCAAAATTATATTAGTATAAATAAACGTCCCTGCCCGCAAAATTGCATTTACATGGATCACTTATAATCTGGTAGGACTGGTAAAGACACGTTACTTGTTACGAGAAGCCGCGCATGGTGGCAAAGTCGATTTTTTGTTCATGGACGCTTCGACAAAATCATCGTTACATATGAAGATGGTATTTCTTGGTCGGAATTGTAATGCGTGAATTTAAATCCACCCTAAATTTTACAGCAGAATAGCCAACGGCAACCATGCACATGCACCAGAACACTCGTTGCTCTGCCCTCTGGGCGACGTCACTCATGCGTCATCATTTAGGCAGATCAATTTTTTTGACCAAATTAGACAGATCAATTTCAACTTTTGAAGCGAGTGCAATAACGTGTAATAATTTGTAATTATTATTAACAAAGAGCTAATTAACGTATATTGTCCCACTAATAGACAGAGTACTTGTAAACCGTAACATTGATTTTGAGGATTTTTCTTTCTTTCTTTTCTGGATGATGACATTTACTTCCCTACTTCGAAGACGAAATTGCCCATCTTACATGTTACAGTTGTGAAATAATTCTCCGACAAAAACCCTCCCCCTTTACTACCATCTTTTTAACCTTCTCCTCAAGGGTTGGGTCGAGAAGCAATTACTCTCCGGTGTTCGCCATGGCAAAACTGATCTCCAGTTTCTTCATTCCCCTCGCCACCGTCCTCCTCTTGTTCTCATCCTCCCTCGCCGCCACCAAAACGTCGACCCGTTTCTTTCGAAGCATATCCCCGGCATCTCTGGGCCTCGGTGAGGAAAAGCTGAGCCACCTTCACTTCTACTTCCACGACATCGTGAGCGGCCCAAATCCCAGCGCCGTGAGGGTGGCGGCGGCCGGTATGACCGACAAATCGCCGACTGGATTCGGGGCAGTGGTAATGATGGACGATCCATTAACGGCGAGTCCCGAGCTCAGCTCCACGCCTGTGGGAAGAGCCCAAGGCATTTACGCGTCGGCATCGCAAGAAGAAGCGGGGTTTTTGATGGTGGTGAACTTTGCTTTTACCCAAGGGAAATATAACGGCAGCTGCTTGAGCATCTTAGGGCGGAACAAGGTGTTAACCACCGTGAGGGAGATGCCGATAGTCGGAGGGAGCGGCGCTTTCCGGTTCGCACGTGGGTATGCTCAGGCTAACACTCACACGTTTGATCCGAAAACAGGGGACGCTATAGTGGAGTACAACGTCTACGTGTTTCATTATTGATGGGGATCGCTCCTTTCTTATTCGATAAGTCAGATCACCTCAAACGTCCTTTACCCTTTTTTCCGAGGAAAACCTTTTACTTTTTTTTTTTTAATTACTGTATTTTATTTCCCATTTTCCAGTCGTTCTTGGTTTGCTTTTAGTTTTATAAATCGAAAAATTAAGGAAATGTCCTCCTTTTCTCTGTGGGGTGTATGGATAAAACTCAAATTATGATTTTAAAAGTGATTTTACGATATATGCAGAGAAATTTATCTCGATTTGTAAAAAAATATTTTGAGAAAAACACTTTTTCTGTTTCCCAAACACCCTTGAGTCATCTGATGAGTCATCTATGAATGCTTTTTGTAAGAATGATTTATATTTAACGTGTGATGCGATATAAGAATTATTTTACTCCTCCGGTCCTAATTATAAGACCCAATTGACTTATTTGAGGAGATTAAGGAAGTAAGTTAAGTTGGTTATTTATAATAAATAAGTGTTGTCATTCCTAAAATATCCTTGTTAATTAAGTATATTGGCTAAAACTATCATTATTAGAAGGATTATCTTGGAAAAAAATGCATAAATATAAGAGACAAAATAATAATTAGGACCGGATAATAAGGAGTATATATTTGAATTTTGATCCCCGGCAATCACGGGGAACGATTATTGCATGGACAGAGGAGCCCATGTGTATTGTGTGGGCCAGCACCGGCAGAAGCCCCTTCTATTGGGGTGGACTAGTACTTGGGCTCTGTTTGGGTGACACCCCAAACCATGGTTTGGGGACCCAAACCATGGTTTGGGTGATAAGTCACCCAAACACCCACTGGTTTTGGGCAAACCTTGGTTTTGGACCAAAACTATGGTTTTGGCTCCAAAACCATGGTTTTAGAAAAAGCAGAAATTTTTTGCTTTTGGAGAAAAAAGGGAGAGTGTGAGAGCTTATAGGATATGAATCTTGTTATTTTTTTTATAAACATATTTTTTTATAAACATATTTAATCTTATATTTTAAAAATATATATACATATTAATTATTTATTAATTATATTATCTTATGTATTATTAATTATGTTAATAAAAAATATATTATTAACAATTTTATTCCTTCAAATTAAAATATATCATAAAATCTATTTTTTCTGTAATTATCATATTAACTTATGTCTTTTTTTTAGTAATTTGTATATATAAAAGTGTTTCTGATAACAACTATCCACAACACTCTCACTTCTCAAAATCACTTTTTCATAACATCTATTCTTCCCATAATCTATTCTTCCAGAATCTATTCTCCAGAATCACTTTTTCAAACCACGGTTTGGTTTCATCCAAACACACCTTTGATCGCGTTTGCCAAAAGTCAAAATGAGTTCCTTGATTTTTCTCAATGATTAAATGAAGCACGTGGTTATGGAATTTGGATCATGTCAGTTTGTCAAGTAAAAGCATTAAAACTTGCGACGCTGGTGATGCAAGCCTAAACCTCTGCATCAGGACCCTTGCATAGAGTTCCAAATAAATTCACATTATCTCACTTGTACACTGAACTCAATCTCTTGTTATTTGGTCTGCGATGATTATCAAAAATCAAATCGATATCTCTCAATTTGTATAGAATTAACTTCTCGTATCAATTATCAGTGAGTTACAGAACCAGTGTTAGATTTTATACCAAATTTTGTAAATATATGAGTTGAGAGGGAGACACACACATTAAAAAGATATATACAGACAGTTGAACCTAATAATAAAGCAGGGAAGGAGCGTGAGTCTAGAGATGCATGATTTAATTTAAATTCTCTGCATTCTGGTGGAAAAAAATCCCTTGCATGCAAAAAAAAAAAAACTAATCATTGAATTAGATGCATTTAACTATTTATGTTACCCTTTCATTTTTTTGATTTTTCCCAGCCAGAAAAATACATTAGTTAGATGTGACAACTAACAAATAACATCGCTTCCACCATTGCCTCCTGGCCAGAGCCATTTCCCCCGCGCTCCGTGACCGTGAATTGCCATTGGCGTTTTTTTTTTAAAAAAAAAGATAAAAGAAATTGCCACTGGCCCAAAAAAAGGGTGAAATTGCCAGGAGGGATCCACTTAAAAGATAGATCATCTTCAAGGCCCAAAAAAAGAAAGATCGATCATCTTGGCCGTTCATCACATTTTAATCTCGGCCATTCATTCACTTATTTTGTTTTTCGTTTTATTAAATCGTCAACAATATACCGCTCTTCAACATCTTTTCCCCGACATGTTTCGGCGCGCTCTTTCTCAATCGTTTCTCATCGGCGCGCTCTTTTAATCCGTCGGCCATTTTCATCGCACGTCGGGGGGATCAGTTCTGCTGTCCGTCGGCTCTTAGCACCGTTCTCTTGCTCTGTCGGTCACTGTCATCACAGATTTGGAGGTAAGTGCATGATCACAGCCATTGTCTCATCGTTGCTCTCAAGTCTCAACGAAGCTTTTGTTTTTTTAAGTAAACCCTAAAAACCCTAAACTCTAAAACCGTCCTCCTCCGTATAACAGTTGAGATTATTGCTTCTTTTTCCTTCTCTTTTCCTGGCTTTTAAAGAGATAGAAATTAGTAATTTCACTTAATTAGTGAATGGTGAATTGGTGAACTTGATTTATGCTTGGATGATGACTATCGAGATCACGCACAGTCTGTGATAAAATGCTTGAAGACAATGAGAGCTATAATTGAATTGGTAGCTAGCCATTATAATCACAACTTTTGGTTGATATTAGTTTATGTGTCATTCAATCTCCATATTAAGCATGAAAGCGTTAAGGGATGTGGTCTTTAAGCTTTTTTTGGAATTATTACCAATAATCAAGCTATTTAAATTAGTCTATGTTACAGAAAGGTTAAGAGTATTGAATTGAGATGCCTTACTTTCTATTTAAATTTAAATGTGAGAGCAGTGCATATGTTGAATGAATTAGATCGTTTAGGAATGTCATGCTTGCTTAGAGGGTGCCGGTGCAACTTTTCCGTTCGTCTTGATTTTAACCTTGTCTCACTTGATTTGTATGTAGGCAATTCACAGGCGAAAAGGTGAGCCGGATAATGGGAACTCGAGAAGTGTATGAAGAAAAGCTAAGAACTGGCAATCTCCACCACGATCCTACCATCAACCCTGGCCTTGGCTCCCCTCGTTGCCCTCGCTGTCTCTCCCTTCTAAACCCTAACTCTGTATGTCTACTATTCTCTTTGCAAAATTCTGATGAATTTACTTGGTAAAAAAATTCCTGTCAGCTATTTATCAATGTGATCATGTGGATTCAGGAAAAATCTGAATGGACAATCACTTCTGTCTTACATGATGCCACTGCTGTGGTGAGTGAAGGATGCAAGACTTGGGTTTTCTTTTATTATTTGTCAAAATAAAGTAGAAATCTTAAATTCTGATGTTATTTTTTACTGCAAAGTGTTAGCTTAGCGTTGAGTGTATATATTTATTTTTATTAGCATAATCTTGTCTCTTTCTTTTCCCCTTCATGCAATACATTGCCATTTGTTGGAACCCCTGTTCAAATTACTGCAATATTGCAGGGTTTTTTTTTTTAATTATTATTTTATTTTAGTTTGGTTTACATGGTCTCAGTTGTGCTGCAGACTCCTGTAATTTGGGGATCGGAATAGTGCTGTGCTCCTTAGTGTGCTGTCACTCATTTATCATTGCATCTTTTCTTATTGTATATATGTTGTTGCCTTACGTCATATTGTGTTTCTTATTGATTAGGCTGGCTCGGGTATGGGTGGTATGCTGAGTGCAGTTCATGGTTTTAACACAGGTATTGCTGGTTCTGTTTTCCTCCTACTTTATTATAGACACCCTTTGTTGCTGATATTGCCTATTAACCTTTGGCTGCAGGGATCCCATACCTACAAAATCGTCTGAAGGGACCAAAGTGGCTTCCTTTCCTCGTTGGGGTATGTATGCTTTATTTAACTTTTGAGTTTCTTTTTCAAATATTGAGCTTTAGTGGCCTTGCAGTAATGCTGATGCCTAGAATGGTATTATCGTTGAATTTCTAGTCGTCTTTAGTTCTTTGTGCTCAGCACCGTACATTCATGTTTCTTGTTCACATTGTTTGGCTAACACATTTTGTTCCTTCTTTGTTTGCAGCTCCCTCCATTGCTCATATTTTCAGGTGCAAGTGCTGCATTTGGAGGTAAATGCTTGTACCCGGCTATTTATTAGGTTTAATTTCTAACATCTATTACGGGTTACAGACATAAACGTAGAAATCATGCAGAAAACAACAAATGATTTATTCTCTGATGGATCCGAAGGAATGTCACTCCACTTATGGTCTTTAATCTTTTTCCTACTGTTTGAGTTGGGGTTTCGTTTATTATCTATTTTAGGTCAGGCTTCGTTGTTTGTTTAGGTTAAATATCACTAAGAGGTTTAGCGCTGACTGTGCCTGCATTGAGTGCGGGTTTTTAGTCTTATTTCATTTGGTGGGATTTTGCTGTTAACATGTAGTGCCCGGGAATTTGCATTTTGCAGTTTCTTATTGACTGATACTTTTGGTTTAGTTTAATAGGTTGTATGAGTCCATTTTGAAATCGTCCAAATCATTCTCTTAAAATTCATCCTCTTCATCGTAAACAATCCACTTGCCCAAAAATGACCTGGCCCCATTGGGAAATCCCATTTCATTGGGCCTTTTGGTTGGCCCCAAAGGCGCCATATTATTGGAGCCCAAATTATGTGATTGCATAAATCCTTCTCTATCTATTATGGGTCAAAGATAGAACAATATCTATTTTGAATCAATGTGGCTCAGTCATATTTGAGGGATTCCTTGGTTCAGGATAAAAAAGCATGTCAACCAATAATTATCAAGTTGACTGTAATGTTGAAGAGTTATAGTTTATTGCAGTGATGTTACAATGTCGAGAGACTCATGAGTCCTGACTAATTCAGATGGTATCTGGAATTTGTAGGTTATGTGCTTCCAAAGCTTGCTCAACTCACTGTGACATCTTATTATGCTGCCTCAAGTGCCTCACATTATGGGATCTCTCTTCTCACCCGACATATTGAAGATAACTACAATTCTCGTAATCAGAAAGAGCGGACAAGATAATTATTAAGAGGGCACATAGGAGAAAGATATATTATCCTTCACTATTTTGTTTATATTTTAAACAATGTCCATGGGTTGGTAGGACTGTTCAAATTTTAAAGACTGTTCATTCTTCACCTCATCACCCTTCATGTGAATATTATCTTTATTTGGTATATCTTGTAGTGCCCCATCCATTTGGTTTAGATGGGAAAAATTTGATCTTATAATGGGTAATGTTTTCTGAAAGAGGCTGATAAATAAAGCAGAGAAAGATCACGTGAACAGCTTGTAATGGTTATTTCACTGATAAGGTTGAATTGCAGAACGAATCTTCTTAAGGAACTCATAGTTGGCCAGGTTGTAGAAAGCTCGAATACCGACCCATACGTGGGACATTGACATGGTAACACGGCAAATTTGATTTGAAGTGTTGTATCATGTGTTATTGGGCTGTTCAATATGTGTTGGACACTTGTCGTCTTGTTTTTGAAGTCCTTTGAGCTGCTTGTTTGTCAGAAATTAAATAACTCCCTTTCTTTGCATAGCAGGTTTCTAAATTTTTTTTGAACTAGTGGGGGTAGATTTGTTCGTGTTGCCATTTGTACCCGCTACCCCACCCTCGAAATTCTGTTTAGGTGCCATTTTTTGGGGCAATAGTTATTACAGAATTTATGGGGCATAATGTTTTGATGCAGAGCAAGACTTGCCAATGCAGCTCCTGTATTCACAATATTGCTCCACTGTGTAGGTGGTGCTATTTTTTTTAAAAAAAAAAACAACAAAAGGGGAAATTTTTTTGCAGGCCATCTGATGGTTGACCGGCTGTTAATCAATTGCCTAAAGAGTCTGATTGTGTTTTCTAGCAGGTCTAATGGTAATTAGGCATACATTGTTGTTAAAACGAACGTTGTAAAAGAAGCATCATTCTTTGCAGCAAATAGCTCCCATTCTTGTTGCTTTTCTGAGGCCTCTACTGATTGATGCTGAAAGGCTGGCAAGGAAGTAAGCATTGTGAAGTCCAAATTTGCATAGATGGCCAATTACCTTGGGACTTGTGCAAAGGCATAAATCGATTTCTGTAGGTGGTTATCACATCAGATTAAATATGAGCCTCTGCTGAATGCAAAGGCAAAGTGAACTTACATTGACCTGGTGGTCCTATATGAACATAAGGATCTATTAATGAGCAGCTCAACACTGAAGACTTGTTGCAGGGATGCTTGTTGGTAGTTGATTATGTTTAATATTTTTGAGTAGTCATCTAAAAGCAAAGATGGTTTGACTTGGTCCAGACCAACCTGTTGTGAAAGATACATAGTTTGGCGTTTATAGCAACGTTATTAATCAACGGCTGCTCCCAATGGCTTATAAAAATGGAAGGGATCTTGCTTGTGTTCTAAAATGTGCCGTCTGTTCAGGTTAGCTAGAGGCTGCTGTATAAACTGTCAACCTCGTTCAGAAACTATATAAAGAGGTGGGCCGATGTTTCTTAAATTCCACTGTTCTTTCCTCTCTTCGCTTTGGAAGTAAAGAGCAAGTGGTCCTAGTCATAAATGTATGTACTCTCCTGCGTCTTACGCTGCGGACTCTTTCTGCTTTTCTTCCCCCACGCGCTTTTTTATGTTGCATTTACTTGTGGGGTCTATAGTTTGGTTGACATTAACAGTGTGACAGAATTGTGGGATTTATCATTATTTGTCACTTGGTTTGCTTTTATTTACCTCTCTTGTTTCAAGGGAAAATTTAAATTGTAATAATTTCCTCCGACAAAAGCTACTTTAGAAGATTGAGACTCGATGGATATCAAACTTGGTGTGATATTGTTGAGTGAGGTTGGTTTATTGAAATTTCTTTTTTTTGGGTCAAATGAAAATTTTATTTTATGACTGAGGTTTTTCGAGGGAGTCTGGCCTCCGGATGCTCTGCCATATAACTAAACTACTAGTCAGGGACTCAGGAAGTACCGCACGGATTCAAACGGGGATGGAAAATCCAGGACTCGTAAGATGGAACAATTGGAAAAGACGTAGCCGCCATGCTTGTCCAGAAGAGGGGTAATCAGTAATCATCTGTTCAACCAGTGAGAACGAGCTCAGAGAAGGAGATCTTGCTCCCTTCTTAATTTTCAAGAGAAAGTCGAACAAGCACTCAAAGCAACTTGACTGATAGCCTATATTAAATTCTCTTTACGCATCCCATTAATTAAGAGATTAAATAAATATTCTCAACGACGCATTTTTCCCTTGTTCAAAGGCACACCATGTTGTAGAAAATCAATATCTTTCTTTGGATCAATAAAATCATTTCAAGTAGGGGCTGTTTAGGATTTTTTTTTCCTCTCTCTCTCTCTTGGGGGGGGGGGGAGAAGAAGCAAAGCAGGAGAACACCTTAGACTTGTGTTTGATAGGAAGCATTGAAAATTAAAGATAAAGATTAGGATTGAGATTGATAAAATCTATTAAAAGAGTGTTTAGAACAAGAAATTGCTCGTTATATACGATTCGCCAAACCTATGCATGTGAGAGTATAGAATAGCATGGGGAAAGTCATATTTCCTAATCTCACCTCTATAGATTTGCCTAATCTTACGTAATAAGTAATTACTTAAGTTAAATACCATTTTAATTATTATTTTTAATTGCAATCACAATCTCTATGCTTCATTTTTAATGTTTTGTACCAAACAGGACCTATATTTTCAGACTTCTGAACTCCACGGTTAATTTATCGTGAAGACTTACGAGAGCCGCCTGAGATGTCTTATAAAACGCATGCTTCAATTTCTGCGGAAGAAAACCAAAAATTGTTGCCCCGAGGCTTTTGAGAACTGTATAACTTAGATTTGAAAACTAAGTGATGGGTGGGCGAAGTAGGTCGAAGTGCTTGAAACTAAAAAGTTCAAGATCGGCCAGAGTTTCGCTAGGGGGCAATTAAAGGGGAAAGTCTGGCTACAAGTTGGGATTGCTGGTCAAATCTATCATATTCCAGGAAGGGCAAGTGTTAGGAGAAGGGAAATTTACCATCAATGTGGTAATTGATTGCATCATCCTTTCTGAGTTTTTCAGGTAAACATTGGTAGCCAGCGTTCACCGTCGACTCTTTGTGCTGCCACGTTGACAGACAGCTAAAGTTGACAGATCCATCAGTGCTATTACTGCATTACTATTGTTAAGGAGAACATGTCCTCTTTTCCCTAGAGAAGGAATCTCCCAGTCCCACTTTTTTACTCATCAAAACTAACCCACCTAACATCTCTCTCTTTGCGCATCAGACATATAAAAGCAGAGGTACAGAAGGTGGGCAAATAAAGATGGCAGTCTAACTACCATGTTCATATGTTCCTTAAAGTCTTAGAGGAAAAGGAAGACACATCCTTTTCGAAGGGGATGGTTTTGTCATTTTAAAGCCATAAAAGCCCTAGGTCGTTGGTACCACTGCCTCTTAAGTTTCAATGCTTATTTTTGTCTGTAAACGAGGCATATATAAACTCATGATCCACGGCCTTCCAAGACGCTTATCAAGTTATGCATCAGTAACAAATCAACCTAGTAATTATTATAACTTCTGTCAAGCTGATGCGCCATTGTTATTAATTATTCTCATTCTAGCATTAGATCCTTTCCCAACACGACAAACCCATTTTATATCATTATATTTTGTGTCAACTCCAGTCAACCCAAACTCTCACCATAATCAACATCAGAAGGTAGCATGCACACATGATTCTGCGGAACATGTTCCTTTCATCCTTTAATTGACTCGGAGAAATAGAGGAAGACCGAGAAGGCGCCTTTTAAATGGTCTTGACGTTACCCATTTTGTCCCCTAAATCTAAGGTCAGGAGAAGGTTTCAACTTATTACTTCCGGTTTTAATTATAAGACCTTGTTTATAGTCTCATATATAGGACATATATAGGAGAAGGTTCTAACTTATTACCTCTGGTCTTAATTATAAGACTCCGTTTATAGACTACAAACGAGATCTTATAATTAAGACTGAGATAGTATATATCTTAGCTAGATGGAAGAGACATAATCTAAAGTTGATAGGCACATATCCATGTTAAAGTTGCTTCCCTCCTCTCTCTCTCTCTCTGTGTGTAAATTGCTTTGAAAATAAGTGATGATAATAACAATTAATGAAGAAAGAAAACATAAATTTGAAGCATGGGGAGCAGCATATGGTGCCTGCAAACGGCATGGAAATATCACTTTCTCTTTTCCGCAATTTTTTCGAGCAGACCATCAAAACTTATCATCATGACCTTTCTCCATTACATTGCATCGAATCAGAAACCCACCCTATCTCATAACCCCCATCTGTCTGCACATTTTCATGATTTTCGCACACGTGTGTTTCGACAAAATGCTCATGCGTAACCCCAACTGTCTCCTACGCTTTACCTGCTACCTTTCCACACGTGTGAATGTTTTCTCAATTCTTTCACACTAACGTGACACAGTGTGCAAAAATTGCAATACCAATATATGTATATATAATTCTGCGTATGTATATACCTTGTTACCATTAATGCTTACCATGTATATGCTTAAAAGGGACAAATACTCTTAATGTATAAATGGGAGGATCATCTTAGAATCATCACGTCATAAAACTCCATCAGAGGAAAAAAGTGGCAATTTAATATTAATTTGCATATATAGAGCCCCGATCAACCCTAAAGTACCTCAAGATTTATTATAACATATAATTGGTGTTACAGATGAAGATCCAAACTCACATGGTCTTGAACGCCCGGCTTCGAGTCATGGACGACGTACCGGTTTTGCAACGTTGAGGCAGACCCGCCGAGCTGTAGCGATGAGGTCCTCATGTTGATATCCTCGCCGCCAGCAAACGAGGGCAATGGATTCAACGAACGGTCACTATTGAAGGTAGGGTTAGTTTGGAGGGTGGGTATTCGCCACAAGGCCAAGGGGCTTCCATTGATGGGCTGGTGATGGTGATGGTGAAGAGAATATGGGCTTCCATAAAACCTAGCACCACCACTATTATAAGCAGCGGAAGTAGGATAAGTACTAGCAGGCATTGGCGTGGTTAACGTTGAAGTCGGTGGAGGGAAGGACCTGTAGTTCACGAGGCTGTAGACTTGAGCTTCGGACATGTGAAGGTGGGCTCGTTTGGCGTGTTGGCGCTCTCGTTTGTGAGCGTTTTGGTGGCCACCTAAGGCTTGGGAGGTTGGGAAGTTTCTGCAGCAGTAATGGCATTCAAATCTCCGATTAGTCTCGCTGTTGTCGATGGTGGCGTTGTCCTTCCCATTTGATTCTTCGGCGGATTCAGAATCGTCCGCCGGCGGCGCGGTTGCTTCGGGGGAACCGAATTCTATGCCGAAGAGCTTGATGGGCTTTTCTTTATGAGGGGCAGGGCGGATGAAGGGCAGCTGAGAGAAAGAATCGACGTTCATGAAGTCATGAGTCTCTCTACTACTAGTCTCTGAAGCTTTGTCCATGAAAGAGAGAGAGAGAGAGGAAGAGAGAAACAGGTGGGAGGAGAATGAATGGGAAGGAGGAAGGAGGAGGAAGATGGATATGTCGTTGGGGTGCGGTGTGGATCCTATAAACTGAGAGGCAGGGTGGGGTCTGAGGACTGATCCAAGGACAATTGGGGCTTATCAAGCTGAGAACTGAAGCCCTGACAAGGCCACCAAGTCTGAGACTGGCTTTGGCTTCTTAAAGTACCGCCTTCACTTAATTTTTGGTTTCACTTTTAAATATAGATGTTCTAGGCATTCAACTTTTCTTTTCCAAGATCATTTTTAAGTTTATTTAAAGCGGTTTCAAGTTCAAGCATCAAGCTGCATTATTATTAAGCGTCTCAAGTCATGTGATTTAAAAGTGAAAACCGTTTGATATATACATGGAGAGAGACTTGGCAACGTGCTAAATAATAAATTAATAATTAATAAAAATAATTGGGGAAACAGTGAAAATTGCAAAATGTGACTGATCGATCTGATCGGATTTAATTATCATTCATGAGGGAATAATACATCATAAGCATCTTTGAATGGTTTGACAAGCGGTTTGCCTTGCAGAAACAGAAGACGGCGGTACCCCAAGACCAAAAGATTGTATTTTTGTTTGATGAACCATGGTCGTCGTACGTGATTGACGGGTGGGTATAAAAAAATGAGGACCTCCTTTTTTTGGGGGGGGGGGGGGAGGTTGTCCATTTAGTTAGCATATAATCATATTCAATCATATTGGCTCGCATCATTTTCAATTATTGACGTGAGTGATCATGTTTGATTAGCGTACTTCACTTGGCCCTCTTACAGCGCGCGCGCGCACACACACATATATATGAATTATAATGCTAGCATCAAAAGCAACAGCCATCTAATTAATCACTTGGAGAAGAGAAGGCTTTGGAGGCTGGCAACGTAATGTCTTTACTCCATATTCACCTAGCTAGCTAAGTAGTTGTCTTGCATGTCTAAAACAATACACAATAATCCTGATTCCTGCATGCCATGTTAGTTGTATATATTAATTAATCTTATCGAAGAACAAATGTGTGCGTCTGTGTGTGTGTGTGTGTGTGGAATTGCTTTGTCTTCTGTCTACTGGTTGGTGCGTCTATGGATTCAGATTGTTTGCTGCTTATTTCAGTACAAGACAGCGTATTTGGAAATTTGACCTTCCAGATAGAGGGGTTGTTTATTTTTTTCAACTGAAGGTGCGTAGCAGAAGATCTCTTTTGACGCATCTTTCTACTATGCGAATGTCATAATCGTCTTAACAAGTTGCAGAGTGATTAGGTCAGATAGATAAATTAAATAGCTATATTTTCATTTAAAGAAAAAACAAAAAATGGAGTATGATAGATTTATCTTTGCTGTCACAGTACTTGTTCTCTCTGCTCACGCCCTTCCTTCTCCCGGTTCTCTTGTTACTTTTATTATATGGATCAGACAGCTCACGTACGTTCGTTTATGAGTGATTTCGCGAATTTTGAAAGACCGAGATCTAATGATCCCAACTTCTTTGGTAAAGCCTTCCTTCCCCTCTCTCTCTGTCCTTGAAGGACCATCTATGGTACCACCAGTTTGGTGTCGATTCTTTAATACTTTGATGGCTGTTTTATATCTGTCTCAGGGATTCTGCAGAGAGACTGAGAAAGGGAAAGAGAAAGTGGTCCTCAAAAATGTTTAAGTTGATTCAGACTACACGAATGGGTAAGAGCATATACAATCTGCTTCTCTCTCTCTCCCCACCGGCCTCTTTCACTGGCTAATCAAGTACACACCCAGTCTCTTAATAAATCGTCTTTCTTCTATTACACATGTTCTCACCATTACGACGTTCCCTTCCTCGTGTCTGTATGCTTTTTCCCTCCCGATTCTTCTTCCTGTCAAAATTTCCAGATTCAGTGTACAATAACGAATTGACGATTTCCTGATGAGAAATATGACGAAAATGCTGACGGCAAAAAAATAGCGGGAAAGAAAAACTCTTGGCAGCTGTTAGATTAGCTGTATATGTACGTAATATCATAACAAAATTAAAATCAGTTTTATGATGGAAAGCCTTACTTCTTAGTAATTCACATGCATGCCAATAGACGTAATAGCAACAAATTAAAATTATATTCTTTGTGACGATAGATGTACAGAAACTCGTCAGAAATGTAAACATATAATTCTATAATAATGTTTGATCTTGCGAAAAAGGAAAGGGGATGTATATCTGTCAATATGTCGTTTTCGCTCTTCCGCTTCTTTTGATGACTGCACTATCCCAAGTTCCTTTTTATCTCCCATCGTTAGCTCAGAAAGTTACAGCTAATTCATCAGCCAGAGTCCAGAGGGAGTAAAAAAAGAAGAGAGGGAAGGTGGCCTCTGGATCGTTGCAAGAGGAGCTTCTCTCTGCTGGGTGTGTGTCAGTGAAATTTTCATGGAATTTATCTGAAATAGCAATATTCAATGTTACGTTTTCCATCTTTAGTGGCCTTTTTCTTTCTTTCTTTCTGCACAGAACAGTGCTTTATTCATGCATGCTTGACTCGTTTAGCCCATACGATCTCTCTATTGCTCTTTCTTTGGCTATCCCATGACATGTCGCCATCTTATTCTTCCCTTTCCTCACTTCTCATAACTATTCTCTGAGCTGTCACTAAGATAATGAGCTCCCTGTTCAAGTACTTGACGTAATTAAATGTCTAAGCCCTATCTCTATGCTTCGCAATTATGGTTGTTTTGGTTTTTTCCCATCAGTTTTAATAACTCATCAAGTTCCCGGCCCTCAATGTTGATTCCTTCTTAACAAGTGGACCTCCTCCTCTTTAAAAATAGTTTCCGATATTCATTCATTAATTAGTTTTTTTAGCAGCTTTGCCTTGATATTATGGATAAAGAATTTTTAAAAAAAAAATTAATTTCTACATAGAAACTTTAAGATGAAGTCTTCTCCCTTCATCCTACCTGACTAGCTAGCTAGAACATAAACAATATAGCCATATATTTGCAAAACCTTCTCTTTACCAAAGGGTCACACCCTCGAAGGGCTTTAGGCGAATAGGGGACCACAGAAACATATGGCTTTCAATGCAATTGCTCGTCTTATATAAGTAGAAATTAAATGATACAATGTGATTATGTAAGCATGACAACTTGTCATTTGCTTTTATTACCTCTTGATTTGGCAACCTGGTTAGCGAGATTTCATTAACTTTAAAAAAAAAGAGGCCAAGACTTGGCCTTCTACTAACTTTTTTCCCTTCCAGTTAAGCCATGAATATGCAACTCGTGTTCTTTATTATCAAATTACGACCTGCATTGAACAACTTATTAACACACTTTCAAAGTATATACTGTGAAAATTCAGTCGTATTTAATGGGATCACCCATTTAATGAATATAATCAATTATATATACCCTAATAAGCCACAGGAAGAGCGGATATACATCCGACATGTTATTGCGTCAAACCCTAGCATTATTGATTAATTAGTTTCAGACGTTAATTTGCGTGTAATAATCACTTTCCTGCACCAGCTAAAAAAATCATTAGATGTTTTCATTATATTCATGATTAAAAGAAGCACCGAACAACTAGCTGTGTACTCACTATTGACCCATTGCCCAGAGAGAGAGAGAGAGAGAAACTGTATTGACCAAAAAAGAAGAACAGTTTTGCGAAGGTTTCAGCAAATTTCTGGGATCCTTTGCATTCTCAGTCTAATTCTGTTTAGAAATTGTTTTGAAGTTAAAAATACCGAAATACGCGCATCATATGAAAATTTACGTAATGAGACGGCCATCCAGCTAAGGGCCAAGTACTCATTAAATACTTGACGTCCTTATATTGGGAATTCACCAAAAGACATGTGAACGTGGATGTGTCCAAATATCACCCCACCAGCAAAAGGGTCACAAATTCAGAATATTGATAGAGAGCGAGGAAGACAGTAAAAAAAACCTCCCTTTCAAGCACAATTGTCTGGTTTTGGCGTCAAATCTTGGCGTCTTCTTCGTTAGCTATGTATATGATCTGCGTTAATTGTAGCATCTTTTGGCGTACGCAAGGGAAGAAACAAGAAGGGTCACTGTCCTTTTGTTCCTTATCTTTCTTTCCCACTAAGTGTCTTGAAAATGACATTGCCTAATGAGAACTACTACCTTGGACCTCCCAACTTGCTTTGCAATATCAAATCATACAGAACACTCACACACATTCATTCATGAATCCATATATATGTGTGTGCAAATGCTTCTTTTAAACACAGCGCTTTTGTTGTGTGGACCATCCAAACGGATAGATCAATTGCGTGTACCCCTTCTGTGAAGCCTTGTTTGGATGCGACATATACACTTAATGTTTGTCATTATTTGGGTTTATTTTCAATTCTTCTAACCACCGGCGTTATTTTAATTGTGTTACATATGTGTAGCTAGATTCTACTTTCAGAATGCCTATCTTTCGGTTTCAGAATTTAAGGTTGTGCTTAGCTCTGAAGTAGGGTTACATTTGTGAGGTGTCTATTCTGATGAAATATATATTATTGATGGAGAAACATGCTGATGGAGAGAGTTTAAATCCTTAGCACGTTGTCCTCGAACTCCTGTTTTTTTTTGTCATAGTTGTGGAAATTTATATGCTCTCTATCTGAAAGCTAATTTTATTTTTTTTGTCTGTTTAAAACTTTCTCAAGAGCCAGGCCACTTCTAATACGGACAGGCTCCCTTGAATTCTTCTGCGCCTGCCTTCACACGCAGGACCTCCTCTCTATGTACCTAGGCCTTGTGTAAACTAACAAAATAAGAATCTTACATGAGATGTCATGATTATATTGACATTATTATATTTAAAATCAACAGTATAATGCTTATTAATGCTGCTGAAAAGCACAAAATTGACTGAAGCTTACTTTCCAATTGAAAGCTCGTGTGTAATGACTAGTTGACAGCAGGTTTTTATGCAATCAAAGTTGATAAATGACAAACATGTATTCTTTTGCTAGCTTTTCATGAACTTATAATGTTATTTTGCTCTGACGGAATCGGCATTTAGCGATAATTAATGAATGCGAAAAGTTAGTTGCACACGGGCGGGGGATATTTTAGGGTCGGAAGAAAACAGAAACAGAACAAAGAATGTGGGTGCTTGAAA